CTCGACGCGCACAGTTAGTTGCAAATTGTTGCAAGCTGTGCCAAAAGAAAACAACAAGCAATATTGTCAAATTTATTAATTTTCTGCTTAATCGTCTCCTAATTGAGATGATTCAATGAAGTAGTCTCCCAAGTTTGACTGCATATTCTAATAATTGTTCTGTCTTGTATAATTGCTAAAACGCGTGGGTAGTTGTTTATGGATTTTTTCATTAAATAATTTAGAAAATCATGTTAAGCGGATTGGATTCGTTGAACATTTTCGCAAACAATAACATAATGGCCAGCAGAAGTCGTGTTACGAGGCATGTCTCAAGAAATTACGACATCCTTGGGAATCACTTCCAAATAACAACAAATGTACAATGGGATGGACGTGTGTTTGTAACTTGTTCAGTGTTTTCTCGTCTGCATGGAAAACTATTTATTGAGAGGATTTCGTTTGTATTTTCGTACATTCGCCAAGCACAGTTTTTTTAGACGATTGTGGGTGATACCCATGTTTCGATGGTGGTGTTCTATGGACTGTGTTCCCAGTTAGTGGGATCATGAATGACGAATGGGTCTCGCGTGATCACATGACGTGTTGCATGACTTGAAGTCGTCTGGCCCTTGAGTTGTTGGGATCTCCTCTTCCTTCAGGTCGCTGCGGTGAGTTACTCCCAATCTTCTCCTCCCAAGATGGTAAGTCACCTGAATGAGTTCTTCATTGAGCCAAGTGAAAAAGTTTCCCATTCTCTCGGAATCTTGTTTCAATGCACCTACTTTCATTCGTGTTATATAAAAGCTCAAAAATCGTGACCCATTAAGCTACGCTTTGCTAATCAAAATTATTGAATATATTAATATTTGTAATGCATACATTGGGCTAAACAAATCTAGGCCGACAAATCTACCGCACGAACTTCAACATAAGAATAGCATAAAATGTAACACAAGAATGGAATTGAAGAAACTTCTCGATTTAAAACTGTAGTCATAAATTAAAACCTTTTTTCTGTCTTTTGGTTGCAGGCAGTATAGTCTACATTGTTACACACGAGGAAATAAAACAAGATTGATGGTAGCATTTGACTGGGGAATCACATAAGCGTTTATTGCCTACTTATGGCATCAAGTGTTTCTTTCTTTTTCGGTTTATCGCTTTCCACCAAACACAAAGTGTACATTTTATACTTTGTGAACCAGTTACGAGTATCACGAGAGATAAGAAATGTTGTCTTGTTATTGCAAAAATTTCGGAAACAAACCGTTTCCAAAACTCATCTCACACTGTCACTCAACAAGACGCAGACCTTTCGGTTGTCAAACGTGTCATGCAACACTCACCGTGTTGTTATAGCCACACTCTCCTCGTCTCAGTGCGAACCGTAATAATAATGCACTTTAATACCGACTTGACTGTATATGTATGTAGACACTACCTCAATTTCACACCACAACTTGTAGGTGCTTGTCTGTACGGCAGCTGTGATGTATTGGAAAGCATGTCGATAAAACTCCTTGTAATAGCCATTGCAACATCAAAAAGGTTTCAAGTAGTTGAACTCGACTCGATAAATTTGAGGATCCAGTTTCAAGAGCTACAGCAGAATGAGATGAGCGTAAATCCAACGCTTTTAAATTTTTAACGTTTTTCTTCAATCTCTTTGAAACTGTATCGGTGGAACGTCTCCAGTGACGGCGGCCACCATTATTTAAGTGAATACTGCATTGGGTGAAAATATTATTCTTATTCGCTCCTTTGCAGTCCTCATTCTCAGTCAGAGCAGCAGAGAGAGAAGCTCAAAATATTAGCTCATCTTACATAACGAAGCGAATTCTAAAATCAAGTGACATTGCAAATTCCGTTCCCGAGGTCTCTGGGTGATATGGAATGGTATTGGTGAAAAGAGGAAAGTAAATAAGGGAGCAAAAGTATGGACACGAGAGAATTCTAGAAATGTGGAAGATAAAGGTGAAATACAAACACCAATGCGCAATGATGCATATCCATCCATCCATCCACTCTAGTTTTGTGCTTTCTTTCACATCCTCTCCGTTTTGGGATGAAAAAATGTCTTCGTTTATTACTCGCAAGCCTAAGATCATTCCCAAAGCCACGAACTTGAACTATTTGTCTTCGGAACAACTCTTCTCCGCCATCCGTCTAGCAGCCTACAACATCACGAAGGAATTTCCATTCCACACCAAAAAATCGAAAATGTATTCCAATCCCTTCGTGGTGTGTCCTCTTTTACTCTCTGTCTCCCCATTCCCTTATTATTAGATACCTGGTCCAATTTGGTGAACCTGATCCTTGTTGAATTTGAATAGCTCAAAATTTAAAGGGAGCAGGGCGCAGATAAAAATTCGATTAAACGTACACAGAACGAGTACAACTGGAGAAATAAATGGGAGAGAGAGGTGACAAAAACCATTCCGTCTGACCGGGTTGAAAAGTTGTCCAATACTTCTTCACAACCACCGTGCTGCTGCTGCTGCCGTCGACATAAATACAGCATTTCATCCCTATAAACTCACTCCAAAGTCAAATTCCGACTTTTACTTTGTGGAAATGAGACAAAACGTACTTCCTCCGCCAAGCAGGTCCATCTCACACTCAATCCAAGACAGGCTGGAAAATTATCCAGTTCTAGTTTGGAATTGAAAACCAACCTGCACAAAAGCAGCCAAACGCAGAAGGATGCGATTGAACGATGAGATGAACTTTTTTGGCTTCTTCAGCTTGTTGAGAAAGTCGGCTGTGCTATTAGTCAGTCAGTGAATATATGTAAGTTCGTGGAACAAGTTGGATTGATGGATTCCATTATTTTATTCGCTTCTCTTTTTTCCATCCCATAAAGTTGGTCAATAGCGACGAACCTACTTGAGTCACGTTAAAAATGTAAAAATGTGACTCAAACTGCCTGGACTGGATTCAGATTTATGTAAATGTGGACGCTACCGAGTGGATAAAATTAGAAAATTGTTTTTATGGGTTGATCAAAGATCCCTTGATTGCCCTATCGAAGCCATAGAATAATTGCCCGTCCATGCGGCCTTTTCCAATTTCAAATGTTGTGTCCCTCGGTTCAGGTTCAGCAAAAATGCGGCATTTTGTAGAACATGAGAAGTAAATATATTTTGCGTATGTAAATGAATGTGTGTGATATGTGAACTCGAGGAGGAATTGCTTAAAAGAGGTGGAGACGCGCTTCATCAAATAAATATTGCGGCGCCTTTGGAAACACGGGTCCTGAGAAAATAATCACGCAACCCCATTTGAGATACTTTATCGTGCCCCGACGGAGATAACTATTTCTTGGGATAATCTCAACTCATATTTGTAACAAGGACGCGAGAGTGAGCAGGCAAATGGTAATATGCTCAAGAGTCGTCTAATTTGTCTGCTTAATGCGATACCAACTGTGCCATTTAAACCTCTCTATGAATTACAAGATAAGTAGGGAAATAACTTACGCGCAACAACCAGAGTTCACGACTCGAGACGGTAAACTACAAATTATTAACAAATCAAGTCAAAATAAAAATTTGCTTTTGTTAAATATGGAGAACAATGACAACTTAATATACATAGACGATCATGCCCTGTACTGCGTATGTTACATGTATTACTTGCTATATTGTATGTACTCAACTGCACCAATGCAGGAAAATACATAAGTGAATCATTACGTGAATTGGTTTATTGACAAAGGATGAATACGTGACGTTTAAAACTAAATTATTGACAACGTTTAGTATGAACGTCGGCAGACACAGAGTTCTTTCCATCTGCACCGGCGAATCCCAAAAATGATAATTTCTTATTTAATTTCCTTGTTGTTGACTTTAGAGTTTTGGGCTATCGTGGGAACATTCTTTCAAAATATTCTTCCGCCGGAACAATAATATGCAACCGACTTCATGCCTACGTATGAAATTGTTTGGAATGGATTCAGATAGTGCATTTTAACAGTATTGATAGTGAATTACAATTATAATGTAAGTAAAATCACTTGTATTCTCCTTATTAAAAGAGGGGCAACTTTGGGAAAATTTTCGATATCCATTAATTTAACGCGACAAATTCAGCCATTGCCATTAACAGAGCAGTTGAAGGTTATAATAGCAATTAACATAAATAACGGTTTTATTATAGGATGTTGAGGCAAGTACTTCAATTAATTAGACAATTCATTGAAAACAATAAACCACACACGTCAATAATGTCGCTATCTGAATGAATATAAATTGAGTCCATTGAGCATTTTATTTTTTACTGCGTACTGTGAGCAGACCCCTCATTCATTCACATAAAATTCATTTACGTAAAAACGGTCGATGAAGCCCGTAACAATAATAGGCTTCCTGTTGACGTTGTATCTAGCGCTTCTTGAACCGCCTCTGGTAAGTTGGTTTAATTTTGGATAATTTCGAACTGTTATCTATGGACCCCATTCTCCCAAGTTTTTCTGAAAAGTTCGATCTTCTGTAGGTGGAAGGACTCTGCTGTGACAATGGGAACTGGGCGTGGGTGAAAAAGGGCTGTTGCGTGGCAAGTTGTGCTGGACAAAATTGCGGAACTGGAGACTGCGGAGGTGCCAGTGGGAGGACCTGCTACTGTCGACGCTGCAAAAATGGACCACCTGTCCAGGTCAATGTTGGGAAAGGATAATATGTAATGCTTACTAACTAACGTCACTTAACTTGACCGACTGAACGTGCTCGCCATGTTATATCTGTAGTTGTATCTACGTATTAGTTTTATCTTGTAAAATGTATGAATCAAGCGCGTTGTATTGTTAATAAACCATGATCGTATTATAATTGTAAATGTCAATTACAAAATGTATGTAAACTAAATCAGCGGATAAGTAAAATTGATTTGACAAAATCAAATTTTAATCAAAATATTTTGTTTCCGGCATTATCATTATCGACATGTATATACATATCGTTTAGTTTTTCTGTTTATTCAAAAGTTTTGACACGAGTCTAGCGGATGTGTGTATTGAGCTAAAAAATCGATGGATGGAGTGGGACGCCGTAGAGCCGTGTCCTTTCTCAAAGGGGGACTTGAGAAAATTCTTTTCGCAACAGATCACTGAATTCCTGGCCGAACTCTTGGAGGAAGAGGTCAGCCTTTCAAAGGTCCAGGCCATGCAAACCGTGTATGATTTCAATAGCTACAAGAACTGCGAAATACGATTCAGGTATTAATATTAGATCGAGGAGTTTTTTTAAGATGAGGTGTGTTAGAGGGGCAATGTGACACGTATTGAAAATATCCAGTTCTTTGCTGTCTATTTCTGTATTTATGTTTCTGTCTGTTGCGTCTCAGGTGGCTGCGACTGTGTTTGAAAGCCAAGTGGGAGGCTCAAGTGCCTCTGGTCCTCCAGTTCGTGACAGAACAAGGACGAATGAAGTGAGTCTCAACTTATGTATATCGTTTATTGCATTAATATCAAGTTGGTGGGCCATTGTCACTGTAGTTATTTTTTGTGTGTTTAACATTGTGTATTAATCTCGTATTCAGATACGTTCGACCGTTGTACAGGGAAATGTACAATTGGGAGGAGATTCGACCACGAGCGATTGATCATTTCAAGAAAACCAGGTCAAGCATGATGAGCATGTCCGCCACCATTATTGCCAAAGATTTACATTTGTAACTTGTGCGAATCAACGACAACTCATGCAACTTGTGAACAACCATTAATATTGCTTACCTACGATCCAACTTTATTCCAACTTATGTTTTAGATTTATTTACTGTAAAGTCAAAGTCTTTGGGAAACAATAAACACTGGGTCAAAAGGAAATAATGAGGAAATAATGGTTTGTGATGTGGTGACAGCATGCTCAATTTCTAATTTCTAGTTGTATGACTCACTCACTCAGAGGCAGAGCGAAAACAGCTTGAATTTTGATCATTTGATAATAATTAAATGAAACCCTTCATTAATCAACTCGGTCTGCTACGTTGTTCTTTTTGATAAATATTGTTCCGCTCTCTCAAGTTTGCGAGAACACTCGATCGATCGCATCACTTTAGTCTCACTTGACACTTCTGGGAAACATTCTGCAAAACAGCCTTTGCCATCTCAAGGGATAAATTTTTGGCTTTTTTGCAGTACCCAAAGAATCTCACATTCCCGTCGTCGTCCTCGTTTATAAACATCAACCTTTTTTGCTTGTTATGTAGTATAGATACCACCAACTTATCAACCAATAAATCAAGATGGCAAATTAATTGGTGGTTTCAAATGGCAAACTATTTACAATTCGAGTACTTAATTACAGCTAGTCCAATATTTCATATATCAATTTCTACCAATACTCAAACCCACCCAAGTAATGCTGTCAAACCTCACATACATAATTACCCAACGAAAAGTGTTAGATACTGGCAAAGATTTTCATGACATGAAGGAATCAACCCTGTGGAATTAACACTACAGTGCAAGCTGCAAGTACTAAGGGCTTACTGCGTTTTACGACCAAAGGAGATTCTAAAGATATTAATTGACGATTTGGCGTTACATAAATATGTATAATTTCCCAATGGACCTTTTTTATTAATCATGAAATTGAGCCTTACGATATGTAAAGATGCATAAAAAATGTCAACCGAGTGGGCAAGTTAAAGAGTTAGAGATGACGGACAGACAGACAGGATTGTTCCATAAGCCCTGGTTAGGACAAAAATAGTAAAAACCCTATTTTTATCTTGTATTTAAACATTACGTCAGGCTTGAAATAATAATGAGATAAATGTGTAGATGTACATTGGATAAAAAGTGTTTCAAGATTCACAAACATTTCAATAGGCTCATGCAATTTAAGAAAACAAGGGCACGCTCATATTTAGATTATGGAATTCTTACTTTTTTCAGCATTCTGAATTGTTTATGAATTTCTCGGTTTCTTGAAGCGTTTTACCTCGAACTGTCAACTTGAACTCAACTATGAAATTGCTGTTATTCAAAGAGAAATGCAATGCACGGTTCAGAGATGCTGAGACATAAAAAGATATGGTGGATAAATTTTTCAGGAGGTTTACTGCACCGTAACCTTTTTTGTTATGTATGTCTGTGCATACTTGTTATTTAAGTAAATGTTCTGTATATTTACAACAAAAGCTGAGTGTATTGATTTCTCCATTTTTGCTTATTCAGCACTTGAGTCCTCATGTAAATATGAGATACAAATGTGAGTGTTTTGGTTCCAAGACTTTGGCAAGATCCTATATTTTTTCAAAATTAAACTAGTCGAGTTTTTGGTAAACTTACTTATCGTTTTAATAACTTATATAGCAGACAATTTTTAGGGCACGTTCTGTACACGTCATAAATACATGAATTGGCACAAATTAAGTAGTGGGGAATTACTAAAGCGCAATCATATTGTAACATGTTTCAAGAAAATACTTGTGCATGATGACTCGTGTGTCGTAAATATACATAAGTCTCGTCTACATAATTCGCAGACTTGTCACACTAAAGATAAGATAGGCAATAACGTTTAATGAGATAATGAAGTATATGTATGTCACATTTAGCACCTGTCAATTTCAGTGAAACATAATTTTTTAGTGCAGGAAAGTAATAGGCAAGAAAGTATAACTACCTGCTGAGATTGAGTTTTTACCACCTGTTTGAATCTGAGCCCAAACTTCTTCAGAAGCTATTATTTCGCACAGTAATTTATCTTTTTTCTAACAAGGTGCACTTCTTCGACTTTTTCATGACATTATTCAACTATACGGGATTTCAACACTTATGAAATTACATTGACGTCTCAAGTTTGAAAATCGATGTTCGCATTTTTTTATATGGCAATAACGCATCAATCAGAAGATGAGAATCAGTGGCTGTCAATTCGGAGGCTGGTGTTTATTAAAATATAATTGATTTGTTGATTTCGTGTTGGCACTGTTGTACATGCATTTGTGACCTGTTGGTTAGAATGTTGGCTGCTATTTTAACTAACTAAACTTGTCAGCTAAGTAGACATATATTCAAATATTCAAGTTGATATAAAAGCTTTTACACAATTTAAGACAGGATTCCATTCCAGAACAGTTTTACATGAGAGTCCATAAATATTTGTAGAATGTCTTGATGGGGAGTGTGTAAAGGGGAAATTAAGTGTTCACAAGCTAATATCCGGAGACACACCACGTTTACATTTGAAGTTTGGTGATTAAAAGATCCATTCTTACACAATTTTTATAAGAAAAATACCAACAAAAGGCGTTTCTTGTCAGTAAACTGCTCCTTCGGAGTGATTTGTGCAGTCATCAACTCAACGCTCAAATGGATGCACACGCCGGGCCAACAGCCAGGCAAGGGTCGTTTGTGGGAGAGAAATGTTCATCTAGTTAACATTTAACATTTCGTTTTTCTCCTCGTTAATGCCACTCTCCGCGTCTGCATCATCTTCCCAACGTGTTGTGTGCATTGTAAAAATATTCAAGCAAATGAGGTGCAGACTGACGTGTTCTTTGCGTCTTTCTCGTACAAAATGAAATTTGGAATTGCCCAGACACAGCGTTTTAGAATAACAATGAGATTGTGAGGAAACATTCGTGTACTATTTGGAGGCTCATCAGTTTTGCCCCAAACTACTCTATTCTCCTCCTGCTGAAAGCTCACTGAAGATTCATTGAGTGGGATGAGAATGGCCTTTGTTACTACATTGAGTCCCTTGGCTGCGTTGCATCGTGTTTGTCGGATGTCATTAAACACAACGAAATTTGTCTACCGGGGACCTAAAAACTCATAATCTTAGCAAACAAATCAAATTGATTTTAATGTACAACCATTTCAATTTGAGTTTTTTCTTGAACAGCAACAACAAGATCATTAGCCTAGTTGTTGTCTGCGCACTCGGATGAGTCTTGCTACGAGGAAAACAATAATAATATTACCAGCGAGTCTCCTTAAATTAGTTGATGAGTACGTAGTTCATTATCTTAATCAGCATGTTTCTTTTTTCTCTGGAAGATGTCCGCATGGAATGCACTGGAGGCAGACGCAAACCGTCCGACCTGCTGTTCTGATTACTTCTTCTCGTTTTCCTCTACCTTCTTGGCAAGAAATAAGTTAGCTCCGGATTTTGAGAAGTTCCCACAGATTGAGTCGATGAGGAACACGTGAAGAAAGTATAGTACGAGAGATACCACTTACATACTTATAACATTAGGCCGAGTCTTCATGGGTCGGTCGATGAGGTAATTCCATGTTTGCATGCATATGGGTTGGAGGTGCGGTCGATTGTATGTAGATAGAAATGAACAGGTGACGGCAGATATTTTGTTAGTAGGAAATGATGCAAATTTGGGCTTTCTCTCGTTACGTAAAGACGCACAGCGCTGAGAAAATTCAGAAATTGTTTGATAGGGAACAGGTGTTGTTCTCCATTTTGCAAAACCTACTCCTTCAGCCTATTTGCAACTTGCATAACGCATGTGATGTTTTACATAATGCTATGCATGCTTGTTAATCGGTTTACTTGACGTATGTACCTGCCTCGGTATTCATAAAATTTTTATAAAACTTGCACAAAGGTTACTTAAATGATGTTTGTCATTCTTTTTGGGTGGGAAGGAATGGAAACGACTCCTTAAAAAGTTTCCCCAAGGGTGAAAGTCTCCTGTCTTAAACTCAACTGTTACACACTTATGCTCCTGCTACATAGGAAAATGGGGCCAGAGTATGTAGCCTCCAGAACCACAAGGACGAAGAAGAGGACGCAAAAAGCAATGCAAGCTTGCCGTACTCTTAAGCCAATGGCTAATAGATAAGTTTGTCTGTGGCACTTTCCTTATCTCTATTGCTCATTCAGTGTCTGCTATTGAATTGAGACAGGATATGGTTAATACAATACAATATTTATATATGAATACGTGCACATATATATACCGCACTTCTGGACGTAGTAGCAGCAGTGTTGTGGCTTTCATCTGTGACTACGTTCTCTGTTTTCTCTCTTAATGGGCACTCAAAGGCTTTCCTTTTCTTAATGCTCTTGAGATTTAGCTAAAAGCGGTGTGCTTTCTACGGCAGCTACCCACCTCCACATTCTCCATCAAAATAGACACAACTCCATCAAGGCCATGATTAATAATATAACTTTCTTGATTGAGATGTGCTCTGTCTCATACAAAAGAAAGTTATGAATTAATGCAGTGAAAAAATCTTCTAAAAACTATTTTAGGTAAATATTTACCAATCCCAGAAGTTATAAATCTTGTCGACTTTTTTAAATGACGTGGCGTAGTAGGATAGATGCGAACTTTGAATACTTTGAACACAAACTTTCAAAGCGTGTGATTGAACCTTTAGTGCATACGCGATTAAATATATGTAATGTGCAGAGGATTGGATGAGAGTGGAGATTGGAAGTTGGATCTGGACGTGACGAAGCGATTCTGTTAATCAGATAAATTACATTTTATTTTATCTTTTAAGGTCGATCTTCTGTCTGCCTGTCCTTTCTTATTGCGAGGCAGTACGTACGCACGCAGAAGTTCATAAATGCTTCAGCTTGAGACGCCCCACAGCCAGCCTGCAACGAAGATCATCAACATGCTCATCAAATAAATCTTCGCGTTGTGTCAGGGTTGACGTTAGTCGTTGATGTGTGAGGCATGGCAGGATGGTGTTGAAATGTGGAAATTAGAAAAGAAATTACAAGAGTGAAGACAACAAAATGAAGGGGAAAGAAAATAACCTGGCACAGCTGCTGCCACTTTCATTCAATTGTGTCTTGCGAGACGGAGAAAGTAAGTGAACTGAAGTAAGGCATTATCACCACGGGAAATAAGAAAGTAGCCAAGGAAAAACTAAACTTTGCTAACTAAGGAGCTAGAGAGGGAGGGAAGGAGATGGTGTGGTGGCGATGGGATAAATCCGTATGCCAGCCAATATGAATAGAAACTTGTTTTGATGAAAATAAACTTTAACCAAGTCTGAGAACTCCAATAACATTGGCACATGTATTTCACTCACTTGTTGTATGGGTATGTATTTATGTACATATGTATGCTTATACGTGTAAGTTAACAATGTATTTTATAGGCATAAAAACAGTTTACACTAAAGATTACTTTTATTTTTAACACCTCTGAGAATTTCAATGCTTCCGATTCCTACAAACGCACGCACATTTATTTAATTATGATAATACATTATTTACATATTTACACAGATTGATATCGCAAAGAATAGCTGGGCTGGTTCGTGAATGAGACAGGATTCATCTCTTATCAATAAAAGGTACATATTTATCTGTTTAGAAAATTACTTCATAATATTGTTGAATGCACACACTTGAGATTGTGCACATCATCAAAAATTTCGTCGCCATACGTATTTTAAATATTGTGTATACCACCAACGCAGACACAGATGAGAAGAAAATTGATAGCACCAAAGATTACATAGCACAACAATCGTAACTTGGCTGTTGAGAATAGCACCTCAATATCGAAACCGTGAAGAGAATCTGAAATCCTCTTTAGAACGCAGCATGTTGGACTTGATTATTTTACCCGAATTCGGGTACATTGAGATTCGATAAAGAGCACAAACTGCTCCGTCGGTCGAAGGAAAAAATTCTCATTTGCCATACCGCTCCGTATCATCTAGAACTAATTAACTTAACTACGTACGTAAGTTTCCGTCAGCTCAACTTCTAACTGGATTAAGTTTTTTGATAAATGAAAGGTCGGACTAATTAATTTTGTAGATTAGTTCAGACTGCAAATATGTACATAATTTCGTATGCGTATACGACGTTCTCAAACTACGAACTTCATGATTAATATATAGATTCTAGCTCTAAACAATTAGGGAAATCAAGAATCCATGCTTTTTTAACCGCACTCATTCTTATTAATACATTGCGTGCATTTATTAGTTTACGCTTCATGACAAGTGTGCAATTGCATATAGACTATTTTCGCATTCAAGTCAAATTTCTTGAAATTTTGGTATCGATGCTTTACAGCTTTGTCAATGCTTATTAAGAGAATAAACGAATATCGTTTCTGCACGAAGGTTATTCAAAATATATTTACACGTACATACATGACCAGCTAGTCTATACCTACATGTGCACAAACTCTACCCGTTCAATAATGATTTATGAGACCTTTCATTCGAGATCCATTACCTTTCAGGAGGAAAATAGTGCAACCGAAACTTACAACAAAAACATGTCAGCTACAGCAGAATTTCAGTGGAGATCTCAAATTACACCTGCACATGATCCATATGTAGATCATATCGTCCAAGTGATTTTGATTGATTGAGCTCGTGTCTCACAAATATGGTTTAAGTTATGGCTTCAGTTTATGGTGAGCCAAATACAAATGAAAGATGAAATAGTGCTGATTTCTTCTTTGACTTTGCCAACTTCGGAATACAATTTGTCATCATAATCGGCTCAACTCACTCTCAATCCAGTGTTGTCGTGTCGCTATTTGGTTCACTCAGAGAAATTGACAATGAGGCGCCCGTTTGCCCTGAAGACCGAAACCTATCCAATCCTTTATGTCTGTGTATGCAGCTTTATTTATAAATATTTCGTTTCATGCGGATTTTCCTCCACATTGCTGACTGAGTTGAGATATAGTTTCACTTACAGAGATTGGATTCTCCTCAGATTTTATGATGGAGCCCGGATAAAATGATTTAAAACATTCAAACCAGCAAGCAATTACGGATTAGAATTCTGTTTCCATTTGTGATAATTGTACACTCTGAATAATAAGTATATGCATATAGTACATGATCCTAAATATAAACAAGAACTGGATACCTAGGGTTTCCTAATCTTTTCCTATAATTTCATCATATGCACGTAAGTACTCTGCTTTATTGTTTTTGAGAGGTATAAAGATTCAGTTAGGAAATATATGTGTATGTTCCAGCATCACAGAGATCTTGCCGAGTTTTTTTCAATTTCTGAGGAAATGAAGAAATGGCTACAGGAAAAAGATTATAAGCACTCAAATTCTGTGTCTACGTGTATGCTTAAGCCGAATATTATTACAGTATAATCTTAATTGTATTCTTGATTGTATAACTCTACTCTTATCAATAGTTATTCCAAGGAATGCCTTATCTACACCAGCAATATAACTACAACCATATACAGAACACATATATATATATAGAGAATAATAATGGGTAAATATTCACGTTATAATACAAAGACTGTATGTGTATATACGACAAATTGGCGATTAATAAGTCAGAAATTAGAGTGAGTTGAATGACGTGGAAATCAATAAAGTTGGAAAAAGGGGAGGATAAATAAGTACACACCAGAAAGTTTATGTGACACAGTATCGGTCGTAAATTCATGGTAAAATCTCAATTTGGACAAGTTCTCAGTCTCATGCAAACAAACCATAGCAAGTGGAATCAGATGTGTTTGCCCAATGTTAACCTGTATCATGCCGTAAATCTATGCCTATTAAAGGAATGAGCCAAACACAATAAATTTCTCAATGTACATGTTGCAACAAAAATTTACTGCTTACAAATGCAGTCCAATATTCACAAAACCAACACAACTTGCCTTCCTTCGAATGTCGTTTGATCCGTGTATCCGGCGTTTTATTCCCCTAAAGTCAATCAGAGACCAGCCCAAGTATTTTTTTCCTCTACTGATTAGTTTAGTTGAGATACATTTTAGAATATCTGAGATAAGATTAATGCAAAGCAGCAATTCATAATTCATAGAAGGTTATCGAGTAGTAATACTACGTATGCTAAGTGTGTACCCACTATGTACAATGAGAATTGACTACTCTTCTTGTAGAACTAAATAAGTATGTGTAAGTACATATGAATTAGCTGCCAAAGTGAAAGCAGCAACAACAACAGTCAATTTTGCCTGATATGAGAAATCTGTATTATGCTGTAATCATAGACTGATCTATGTAAAAGTATTATTTCTTCTATCACTAGATATCAATTCATTCATGTACATGCTAACAACGATGCTTGTTTTTAAGGTGCCCAATATGTAAGTAGTACTACTAACACGTTCATTTTCCCCAATTAGTATATCATATATACATTAAGGGCCAATTAGTCATCAGCTGAATTTTGTCTTGGCAATGTTCCCTCTTATACACAGATCATTAGATCGCATAATCATGACCTACAATTATTTTTATGCGCCAAGGACTCACGAAAAGAAATTCTTCCATAGTATGTTAAAAAGCCTTTTATACAGCATAATTTTGCACATGTTGGAATACGTGTTCTTTGGAAAGCAACCAAAACGTAGCAGAGGTAATACAATGATACCTGAAAAATATTTGAATTTACATGTATTGATTTTGTACCAATCCGTTAACATTTTCTCTTTTCATTTTCTCATTTTTACTTTGTCAAAACAACAATCGCTTTCCATAATCTATGATTGTTAAAGGAAATACTATTTACATTTTTTTTCAATGACTCTTAACTATATTGCCAACATTTTCACCGTATGCAGTGACCAACTGTCATGCGTATGGATTTTTCTCAGAAATTACATGGAGACAAAAGAGAGACGAATCGATCCTGTGAAGATTTTGCGTGCAGATTTTGCTTGGCATCTGTCTACTTAAAAATCTGAGTACCACATAACGGGCCGTCTTGAAGGTGATAGTCTTGCAAATTATAATCAGCCCCTGGAACAAAGATGCCCGTGTTCATGCCAATGACAATGGAATTCTGGTAGTCTTCTCCTCCGCCTCCATGATGTGGTGACGATGAGGTGACGACGACATGTGGGTCCGAGGGGGACTGATCCCGCTTCTTGCAGAACAGCGGACGTCGCAGTAGTGCAATCGTCAATGCAGCCACGCCAACGATGCAGACCATCGCAAGCGCCAGTATCAAGTAGTTCTGGGTCGAACTCGTGTTTCGTGATCCGTGAACTAGAAAGCGAATAAGCCTTTATCATCATTATTATCAAAGTCAGGTTAACCATCAGCCCAATCATGAAACCTAAATGAATGCTGAATGAACGGACTGTGGTTCGTATAACTGTGCAGCTTCTTAAGAACGCACAAGTAGGGGACGATTCGTGTAGGCACAACTTGAAAATTTAATTAAACAGAGGTTATATAATTGTAACATCGAATGGATTAATATCTAGGTTTTCGTGCGTCGAATGATGAAACACGACTGGGTTATGCTCATTGTAAAAAGGTAGAACGAAGGTGCTGTGATTATTACGTGTACCTCGGATCCACTAAGGATTCCTATTCTTATTTCATCTTGGGGTAAGTTCTTGGCATTCATCGTTTCCAAATTGGATATTATAGTGAATGGAATTTAATATTGAATATCCAGAATGAAAATATTGATTTGTGGGCACAGGGATCGTATGATTAATTTGAACGGGTTACATAAATGAACACAGGCGCACAGCACCTGCTACGAAAAAGAAGAATTTATTGAACGTGAGCCATAATGTTAATACAGGTGTCATATAGTTGACAAGGTCCTAAAATTATATTACTTTTGTTGCATGTATGCATTAGATATGGGACTAAACTTCTTATAAGGGTTCTGGGTAGAAATACGTACACATTTGTAAGCGGAGAAAGGACAGATACTTTTATTTGAGAAATTTTTTTGAGAAGAAAGACTGCGACTTACCATCATCTGATCTGATGTCCCTTGAATTCCCACTGACGACGGTCTGTGGAGTGGCAGCACAGTTAATCAGTGGCTGATCTTTAGGTCTCCAGGTCCCTTTCCCAGAGCACACAATTCTACCACACGGCTTTTGATGGGGGCAATTAAGGATAAAGGAAGGTTCGCAAGCAGCCTGCAGTTCCGTTCCTACTGCGAAATCTGTCTCACCCATCCCACCGTAATACGGCCGGTAGTACCCGTTGCCAATCTCAGGAGGGCTGTTACATCTCTCTTCGTTACTTTTCTCTGCAATCCCAAAATAAAACATTCATTTGCAATTAGCCATTTCTCAGCCAACCTTAATGCTAAACACGGCCGATTTCCTCAATGCGTGTGGATGTTTGATGGAGGAGTAACAAATATCTCCAGCGCCACTTTCTTTCTCCCCAGCCGTCCTAATCCTACTGTGGAAATGGTTCAACTTGTGCCGATTTCCTTCCTGGTGAAAGTCTCCAACCAGAACAACAATCGTCGTCCCAGCGGCTCACTCTCGTTGGCCAACAGCGATTATCTCAACTCAACCTTGGTCGATGGGATATTTATTTCGCATCAGTGAACGGAATTCGTTTATACGATAAAATAAGTGGATTCCGTGTGTATATGTATAAACCGAACTAAACGTTGCAGATAACAATGGTTTGTTTTGTTGGACCTCATTGTGCATTCCGCTCTAGTACATATAAAATTCTACAAATGCATAAATACAAATCTACGTATTTTACAAATACCACGGTAAAACAAATGCACATGGAACAGTCAGCATAATAATAGTAATAATATCTGATTCATGTTCCTGTTTTATTTATTTATTTATATCAATGTGCAATGTGCGTGTTTAATGTATTTATGTTCCATTCCAAGAATGTGGGCAGCAGAGCAGAATAACTCATCCTCAGTAATCATCATTCGCGAAATAATTCACCTATGCAGCTATACAAGTAGTAATGCTGAAGAGTCAGAAGGATAACATGGTAAGCCTATATAAATAAATATATTCCATCTGTAGTGGAACTGGAGAATAATCTCTTGGAAATTTCTATGTGAATCCAGCCCACCCAAGCAAACAAAGTACTCACTACCAGCAGCAATAAGTACTATTGTAATAATAGAAATAGATGGTCTGAGCCTTTCTTTTGGCTTTCTCCCATCCATGCATCCATCCAGCATCCTTGGTCCGTAGGTCTGTGGGAGGAAAGCTGTCGTTAGTCGTGCAGTTTCTTAGTAAACGAGAAGAAATTACCAAAAAGAAGCGAGATCGGTCATGCAACGGTAATAAACATTGTGAGCCTGGTACACTAAAGATAGTTTTTGTTGTAATGTGATGGGCATGTACATGTGCACTTTGTTATTGGCTACTGCAACGCAAGACACAATGCAATCGCCGTGTTGTTCAAGTGCATTTCAAACTTCAAAAACAAATCTGTGTGTGCAATACGGTTTAAGAGACAGCGTTGAGCAATATGGATGGATAATAGAAATTTAAAACAGTAGTTATCCAGTAGAACTGTAAGAAGACTTGTGCATATACATACTTTCCAAGACGTGTTGTTTGGAGTACTTTGCTTTAATATATACATAAAACTTTCTCAATTACTCTTATTGCTGTACAGACTAATTTCAACTTGGATAAAATTGAAATCACAAATTAAGGCTCACAAAATTGCTAGTCATGCTTTGCTGACTTGTTGAAAGTTATTAGGGTTACACATGCAAAAGAAATTAAAGCCTCAAAATTCTCCAAGGATTGGGAACGTAATGCATCATGACCTCCTGCAATGAGCTTGACACCTTGGTCATTGTGATGACGAGAATTAATTCAGCATGGGAGTATTATTCTTCACCATTGTGTGTATACACCCTCACGGCGAGAAAACATCCATTACCCGATTTCTGAAAGCCATTCCTTTTAAGAAATTCACCCGAACATGCAAAATCCTTCGTTTTTTGTTGTCATCCATTACACTGGGAGAATATAATGCTGAGAAGGCAAGATGTATGAGGTTGGCTGGCTTATTGTACTCTTCTCTGACTGACCCTCTAGTCCCAACCTTATTATTACAAGTGTGCTGTGCCACACGCTGAGCTGTTTACACATTAATTGTGGGATATTTTTGTGAGATGACGGTCACCTTCTTGGAGGACGACGTGATTGCATCGCATCGCATGTGTGGCTCAAATTCAATGCATGAATTCAAGTCAAGCATTTTTGTTGCTGAATTTAAGTGAGAATATTCTCCTCCTGCCATCGTGAGAAGAAAACAAGATGGATAAATCTGACAAAATTTTCTTGGATGACGACAAACTTCCATTGTCGAGCGTTGCTTGGTCTTTTACTATGGCGTGGATTGGCATTCTTCTTCGTCTTCAAGAATAACAATGTGCAAAGAGATACATATTCCACCTCTTGTTCCACAAAACATGCACTCGTACTCCACGGACATACGTAAGCACATAAGTACATACGTACGTACGTAATACCGTGACACAAGATTTTCACTTTACGTCCTGTCAGCTCACCTCAACTTTTCTTGCGCCTTTTCAACACTTTCAGTTGTCAGCCAGCAGTTAATCTTCCAGCGGTCAAATCAACATCATCCATCCCACAACATCAGCCTCATGTGCTTGGCAAACAACGAGCAACAACCCCAAAATCATCCAACAAGGGTGGTGACATGGTTGACATGGGTTGACTCGTACTCAGCGAGGTGTTAAGAACGGTGCCAAGAAGAACAAACCCGTTTTTCTGCCTGTCTGTTTTCGACGGTGACCTTTCCGTCCAGAGTGAATTCAAGAAAATGGATTGGTGGGTGACAGCCCTTGGTGACAGGATACACTTGCTCAGAGTGTAATAACTCTTGGGCGCTTGTTGATGTTAAAACTAGCTCTGCAGCGTAAATTAAACCCAACAAGGAATTTCGGCTGGCATGAATTTTGCACTAAAACTGTAGCATGTTTCCAAACACAAAACCTTCATTCTGTAACTTTCTTTCTGTAACGCTATAATATTGTATCGTTTATCGGGTGGGCATTTAAATAATGAAACGAATAATTGTGTACATGCATGGTACGTGTGTAAGTTATTATTTTTTCTGAAATGTACCTGTACAGCGTCCCAGGTTTTATGACGTTAACAAAGATGAAGTGCACACATGTAAATTATTATAACTGTACGATTTATGCAATAAGCATGATTGATGTGGTTCAATTCAAGACATGGGACCCAGACAATTGTGTATTCCAATCCACGGAGAAATGAATGAACACATCAGGTCGGAGTTAACTTTCTTGCCAAGGCGAAACGCAATAAAAAAAATATATACATTAATTTGGATATCTTCCATAAGTTTTTTCAGATCTGGAGAGTAATTTCAAGTGCTTTGACTGATCTGGTTAACTAGATCAGCATAATGGAGTATGTAATAACGTAATGATAAGCACGAGTACTTCTAACTCTATCAGTTTTTAAGTCCAAGTTCTTTCAACATTTGATGACTCTAATCAACCATAAAACAATGCTTTTTTCGAAAATAAAAAGGCCTAACCCTAAGTCAATAAATGCAGTAGCATTAAGTCAAAAGCCACCTTTTATTCAATTAATACGCACAGTTTTGATGCAAAATGCAAGAGTGATCAAACCAAAAATGAGGTTTGGTAACAAATAGAATGCATGCGTGGCCGTGTGCATGGAAAATGTGGGATTTTTCACTAGCTCTGTTCAAATCATGTATTTACATATTTCGAATCATGTATGTGGTTTTAGCATCATAATTCCCCAAATCTCAGGCTGAATCTGGTCGCTGAATGAATGCCGATTTTGTTTCATAAATATTAACAGCGCGTCGATGGATAAAGAAAACTCAAAACCAACTTTAAGCTGAGAAAATGTGAAAGTGAAAATTCGCTTTTCAATCCGGACGGAATGCTTAAATTATTCCAATATGCTTTTGTGCTTCAAATCATGCCATTGGTTTATCTATGTACACTAATAGAAAGAGAAAGTTGAACAAGATGCTAATAACACCAAAGATGAATGCTGTTACACGTCGATGGATTGACCTTTTTCTCCGGTTTGCCTATTTCAGATTGAAGTTTAGTGGTCTGATTCCTTTTCCTGAGTACAGTTTTTCTTTCTATTTACTATGACTCTCTAGGTTTGTTACACAATGTGCTCTGGTTCACAGAAGTGTGTGTGCTGTGGGTTTTGCCATTGTGATCTCCCTCCACCACTTTCTCTCAATCCCAATGTACGAGTATTTAACCATGAATGAGCTATTCTTCACTGCCCACTGAAAGAAGGGAGAAAATGTATATGTACACAGAACTATGGTACATATTTAAGATGCATGTATGTATCTATCTCCCTCGCTTTCTCTTCCTCTTTCTATGTGATTTTTCAGACGAATAAAGTTTTCAAGGGCCCTGCTGCTGCTCCTTCTGGATGCGAAACTGGAGCAAAATAAGTTCCCTTTCTTATTCCTTGCTCTCCGCTCCGGGCGGTTGGACAGTTAAAAATAGGATCGCACTCGTCCTCGTACTGGAGAAGCTCCGGGGCGAACTTTACTTGAGATGAAAACACGTTCTCGCACTCTTGCAAATTATACTTCTGAGACCAAGTGTTCTATAAAAGTTGGCTCAACTTGCAACTTTGAAAACTATTATCGAACAGGGGTGAATTGTTAACTAAGCCTATGAAAGAAATACGCTTTTCTTTTAAGATGTCATAAAACTGCATAATGCATTACACCATTTTATTAGACTTCAATTTCAGAGGTTTTATGTTTCACGTAATGTAATATTTTGTATTCTGGAAAAGTAAACTCTGTAAATATATGTGCGTATGTCCAAAGGATTAAATAATCCTGAACAAAATAGACTTAAATAAAGTAGATAAACAGCAGTGTAATAGGTCCATCGCATATATTTGTATGTATGTAGGTGCATTTGACTATGTCTTAAACCTACCTCTTTTCTTATCTGGAAATTCGGATCTCTTTCTTCATTTCATAACCTCTTTATGTTTGAAATGAATTAGGGTTAGGAATATGAACCCTCCCGCTCCAATTTATCCAGAAACGTCAACATTCTCATAGTATCATAACCATTACTGGTGTTACTTATGTACTGGATGAGGAAGGAACTGTGGTTTGGACAGTGCATTGGGAGTCAGACACAATCATATCGAAAAATCTTGCCTCTAAAGTAAAACGTCACCCGTGTGCAGGTAATTATTCAAAATCTTAATTAGC